AGATCATGGGTCTAATCCTTGGTTTGTAAGTGATTAAGAGCTCAGTTTACAGGTGGCTCATGAAAAAGCAGTGGCACTGCTTCAACCCTGTTTGTAAACATGTGCATGTACGACAGTCAGCTGGGAGTATGTTTGTTGTACAGGATGCCATGCTGTGTGTGATATGTGCAGGAATACTGAAAAGAACAAGACCGCTCTGCCTGCAAGGTGTGTGCACTCCAGGAGAGGACAGAAGGCCAGTACGTACTAGCTAACACCGGGAGGAACATGAGAAATGCTGTAAGAACACGTCTCTAACAATTTCCCCTTCCGATAGATTATAATCCAACCGCTAGACTCCGTGTTATCATGAACCTGTTTTTCCCCAGCTTACAAACCCTGTTGCTTCACGTCAAGTCAAAACACCTCAGTGTATTCACCTCCTTCTCTTTACCTACTTTTTTCCCTGAACGCTTTAAGATTGGGATCCTCCATTTCAGCTAAATAAGCCTCCTGCATTCTCTCTTGAATCTGCCTTTCACCTTCTCTTCTATCTACATGATTATTAACGGTCTTCCAATTTAAAAGCATTTTTATACAGATGACATCTATTTTCAACAAAGTCAAAATATAAACAAAAATGTATTATGACTAAATTGGAAGGATTTCCTACTTGAAAGGTAAAATTGCAAGGTCGTAGGATTTGCACATGTTAAGTTTTAGTACGATCTGCCAAATTATCCTCCAAAATGGTTTTATCGACAAACATGGCCACCAGCAGAGGGTGAAAAGTCTGTGCTTCCATACATACTATTTTTGCCAACATGAAATGGCATCTCCTGTTTTAATTTGCATTTCCTGAATTATTAGTGAGGTGGAGGATCTTTTTGTGTTTTTATTAGCCATTTGTTTTCCTCTAGTCAAATGCCTGTGCGAATCCTTTGTGCATTCTTCCATTTGGATACCAGCCTTCTTTCGGTTACAGGCATTGCAAATATAATATTCCAGCCCAGTTTGTACTTGTCTCAGCCTGCTTTCTGCAGGGGTTCCAGAGGAGAAACAGAAATACAGTGTTAATGTGTCCCACTGCTTGACTTCTTTGGCTGATATTACTATGTGAGATCTGCCTGAGACACTAGAATGCATCTTGCTGGGATGCTAATTTAGCATAAGCGAGGTCCCAGATCTTTATAACCCTGGGTTCTAATACTCGGAGCTCTTCACTGGCCTCCTCCTGGTCTGGCTTTGCTCACGTTCTTCAGTCCCTGGGTCTATAACACTTTTACCCCAGGATGGCGTCTACTCACCAGAGGATCTGAGTCTAGGGAACTTGGGGTGCTGTCTTTGACTGTCCTGTCCTCAGGAGGGGAGGCAATGCTGTGAGGGCCCACGGTGGGTGGTGGCAGGTGGTACAGCTTTGATTGGTCTTGTTGGGCTGACGGCCAGGGAAGAGTGTCCCGGACCCACTCCACAGGGTCCTCCCAAGCAGCTTTCTGTCCATGGACCTGGAGAGAAGGACAAATGTGATTACTGCAGGGACTCCACAGATCAGAGGCTTGTTCATGTCGTCTCTTGACAGTTCCCACAAAAACATTAAAAACATGTACTTCCTCAAATGTTAAGCCTTGAGGCTCTGATTCCTGTGGAATTTTCCTGAGTTTCCCAATAAGTAAAATAAATTGGTGCAAACTGGTAAAATCATTTTGGAGGATAATTTAGCAGACTGTATTAAAACTTTAAAAATTTTTTTAAAATTTTAATTCTTTCAATTTACTTTTAAATTACAAATTATGTACACTTATGATGTATAACAAGATGTTCTGAAATATGTATATATCGTGGAATGGCCAAATCAAACTAATTAACATACGCATTACTTCACACGCTTATTTTTTTTTGTGGCGAGAGCACTTAAAATCTATTCTCTTAGTGATTTTCAAGTATATAATACGTTGTTATTCATTACAGTCATCATGTCATACAAAAGGTCTTTGAACTTATTCCTCCTATCTAATTGAAATTTTGCATCCTTTGAAAAACACTTTCCCAACCCATCTCCCCGACCGTGGCCCCTGGTAACACCATTCGACTCTCCACTCCCGTAAGTTCCACTTTTGTAGATTCCACATGTAAGTTAGATCACGTGGAATCTGTCTTGCTGTGACTGGCTTATTTCACTTAATGTCCTCCAGGTTCATCCATGTTGTTGCAAATGACAAGATTTCCTTCTTTTTTAAGGCTGAATAGTATTCCATTGTGTATATAGTACAAGACCTCATTTTCTTTATCTATTTACGTGTTAATAGACACCTAGATTGCATTAAAACTTTTTTTTTTTTTGAGACATGGTCTCACTCTGTTGCCCTGGGTAGAGTGCCATGGCGTCATCATAGCTCACTGTAGCCTCAAACTCCTGGGCTTAAGCAATCTTCCTGCCTCAGCCTCTCGAATAGCTGGGACTACAGGCACTTGCCACCATGCCGGCTAATTTTTTCTGTTTTTGGTAGAGACGGGGTATCACTCTTGCTCAGACTGGTCTCGAACTCCTGAGCTCAAGCAATCCTCCTGCCTCGGACTCCCAGAGTGCTAGGATTACAGGCGTGAGCCACTGCACCCGGCCCCTAGGTTGCATTAAATCTTATGACACTGCAATTTTATTTTTCAGGTAGGAAATTCTTCTACTTTAGTCATAAAATCATTTAAAAATTATTGACTTTCTTGAAAAACAGATGTTATCTGTGTGCAAATGCTTTTAAATTATATAACTATTAATAATAATGCAAAATTTCCTTAAAATATCACAATTTATAAATGAAATAATGATTTCTGGCCTTGGTCTGACAGCATCTTTAGAAATTTACTATGTCATCAGGAGATACTGATCTCAACACCAAATTACTTTTATGGCCAATATGTGACCAGCAGGGAGGGCCCAGTCGTTGCATCACAGTTCATTAGTGCTGGAACGGACTTCAGTGGTCACCACTATGCCCTAATCCACAGGGGAGAAAA